GAAGAACGATAAGGGGAAGGAAATCCAATCCATTGATTAAAAATGGTTCTAATTTGATCAGGACAACACTAATGTGTATACTGATAATGGTGAACTTGATCATAGATGTGGAAAGCCAAATAGTGGCAAGGGTGAACTTGGAAGTATAGTTTCATAAGGTAAAAACAAAAGTGGTTTTGCCTCATTCTGATGTCCATTTATAATCCTAACGCATCTCGATTTCTGTTGCTTTAGCAGCCAAACAAGTTAATCAAATGGCAGCAATTTAGTGATTGTTTGATTATTGGTATTAGAGAAATTTTTTGCATTGGTTTTGGCCTATATTTGGCGGAAAAAATATCCTGCTGCTTGTCATTATTTTTTTCGAAAAGTGTTTGCTTTTTGGTGCATGCGAAGCAATACGGGTGTGCACTCTTCCTCTGTTACAAAAATTAGTCAGTTTGAAAATGATTAAGGGACTGTTAAAATAAGAATTTGACATACTCAATTTAGTTTGACTGAGAATGTAAGAGGATGTAGAGTTAATGGATTACTGCAGCCTTTTTTCTCCATAAAGCAGCAAATTCCATGGTTCAAATGAGTGTATCAAGTTACTTTTGATTTGTTGTTCAAAAGAGAATCTTATTCTCTCTAAGTTTTCATTTGGTTTTCTTTGATTATTGTCCAGACTTTATTTAATTTGGTTTTGGAAATTGGAGCTCAACCAGTATGTTATTTTATTGATAATTTTAGTAATTCAATGATGAACTTAGTAAACATTTTAATATCCTAACTCCTAACAAAATTTGAATATATGATCTTGCGATAATAACTATCTCTCATCCTTCCTTTTATAGTATGGTACTAGTACTATTTTTGTGATGAAAGAGCAATTTCCTTGTACGGAAACTCACAATTATCTTCTGCTTAATCAGTGTTTTCGGCTTATCGCAAGCAAACAGCCCCCCCCCCAAATAAAAATTTGAGGAAATGGGGGAAAATAAAAGAAAGAAAATCCACGTGGCGGAGAACATGTCGGTCATTACAGATGATCGGAGAGGTCCGGTTTGACTTTAATGTTGGCAGCCAAACGTACGTGAAACATGTGTCCCCTCGTTGATGCGCTTTAAGGCCCTCTTCAATTTAATTTAATAAAGATGGTTCAATTAATTAAAAAAAAAGGACAGAATAAGGCGAAAAATATATCCAAAAAGTCTGAAACATATCAGATTGAGGAGGCATTTGTCATTAGTCAAACATCAATTCATGAATCCTTAATTCAGACGGGTGACCTCCTTCCAGTGTTACCCTAAACCCTAAACCCCAACAAAGGTATGATTATAGAATTTTGGCTACCTAAACGCCATATTATATTTGGAAGCACATTTAGAAACTTCGAAACCCTCCTCGCATTAAACATTTCATATTGTTGTACAAGCTCCCTTCCAGGTCCAGAGAACCTAATTAAGCATTGGCTTGATGCAATAATGGTCCTTCACCTTCTAAAATTCAGCTAATGTCTCTACCGCTCACCTTTTTTGGACATGTTCATTCTCGTCTTAAGTTTGGAGGCTGGCGGGAATCCGAGATATCAATCAACTGCAGAAGCCTTTGAAATTGGAAGCTCTGACTGGTTAGATATCATTGTCCATTGAGCAACTCCTGAGGGATGCGGTTGAATCGGAAGCTCAGTGCATCAGGCATCCAATAAGCACAAGGGAAGTCCATTATACCAACACAAATGATTCCAAAGGTACAGGATACTGGAACAAAGAATGTTCAATCACATAAATTAGCACGATCAAAATTCTATAACGATACCTTTGTTCAGGTGTATAATCAAACATCTAGCACACAAATAATCAAACTCACGTTGCAACACGGTTAGCTCTAATGGAAGGTTGCCCCACAACAACAACAAAAAAAAAAAACCCAGTTAAAAAATCTATGCCAGTTTAGGACAAAAGCTAACAACAAAAGAATTTCTCTGATTACAATACCATGTCCTAACCCCAAACTTATAAATAACCAGATTGTTGCATGAAATGAAAAGAGGAGCTCTTGGTATTTATAAATAAATTGGATTCACTGATATTGGTTTTGGTCATCTATAAAATGCATATAATGAAACATCTCACACGCAATCAAATGGACTCCCATTTCTAACACAATTGAGTGACACCACTACAACTCAAATTAAATTCAATGCCAAGACATGTTCCTCTGATTCCAAATATTGATTTGAAGTTCTTCTAAACTATAACTTAAGGAAAATTCCATGCGAATCCCATATCATTACAACCACATGAAAAAATTTAAAGAATCAAGGTATATCCAGTCCTTACTGCAAATTAGACTTTCCAAAATTTCATTCAACTGAAACTTGCAATAATTCACTATTTAAATAGTTGACGCACTGTGATTCAATGTCAAAATCCATAGTTATAGACAATAACTTTAGATTACTCGGATCAAACACATCATGGTACGGAAAAGCTTCATCAAGAAATAAAAAGCCCAATTAAGACCCTGAATGAACTTCTTACTAAGTTCATCATTGAATTACTAAAATTATCAATAAAATAACATACTGGTTGAGCTCCAATTTCCAAAACCAAATTAAATAAAGTCTGGACAATAATAAAAGAAAACCAAATGAAAACTTCGAGAGAATAAGATTCTCTTTTGAACAACAAATCAAAATTAACTTGATACACTCATTTGAACCATGGAATTTGCTGCGTTATGGAGAAAAAAGACTGCAGTAATCCATTAACTCTACATCCTCTTACATTTTCAGTCAAACTAAATTGAGTATGTCAAATTCTTATTTTAGCAGTCCCTTAATCATTTTCAAACTGGCTAATTTTTGTAACAGAGGAAGAGTGCACACCCGTATAGCTTCGCATGCACCAAAAAGCAAACACTTTTCAAAAAAAATAATGACAAGCAGCAGGATAATTTTTTCCGCCAAATATACGCGAAAACCAATGCAAAAAGTTTCTCTAATACCAATAATCAAACAATCACTAAATAATGGTCCTTCACCTTCTGGAATTCAGCTAACATCTCTATTGCTCGCCTTTTTTGGACATGTTCATTCTCGTCTTAAGTTTGGAGGCTGGCGGGAATCCGAGACATCAATCAACTGCAGAAGCCTTTGAAATTGGAAGCTCTGACTGGTTAGATATCATTGTCCATTGAGCAACTCCTGAGGGATGTGGTTGAATCGGAAGCTCAGTGCATCAGGCATCCAATAAGCACAAGGGAAGTCCATTATACCAGTACAAATGATTCCAAAAGTACAGGATACTGGAACAAAGAATGTTCAATTACATAAATTAGCACAATCAAAATTCTATAACGATACCTTTGTTCAGGTGTATAATCATCGATTCTGCACTTCACTTTAAGACATGCACCACATCAGAACCCCTATACATGAAATGATGCTCCTGATTCTGAATTTCTTAAGATTTTTTCCTCTTTTTAAGTTTCAATCTAATAGAAATTATTCTACTTATATAGCTAAATACTTTATTAATTAGCAAAGTGCGATTATTTCACTACAAATGAAATTCTCATGTTCTTTTTCGATAGATTACACTCCCTAACACAACTCTTAATTCTAACACAGTTTCATTTTAGTTTGATTACAAAATGGTGAAAAGGGCTTGTTTCTTTAGAATTGTAAACTTTAACCTTTTAATGTTGATGGTTACAGATTATGTAATATAAGAATTCGGAAAGGTTAGATTTACACAAATTTTGATTTCAAGCTCTGGTATGTCTTATTTAGTTGAAGTTTCTGTATGCTTGCTGAAATTGTGTTTATATATAAGGAAGCGTTTAGCCTGAGGACCATGTTTGTTATTAAATTTATGTTGTTTTTGCTTCCATATATGAAGAAGAATATGTTAGAGGCTGACCTAAATTTGGAGTTGTTTTAGAGAATTAAACTTCCCCTGAATCTGTGTTGGCTCAACTAACCGTCTTAGTGTAATACACAGTAGTCAAGTTTATGATTTGACCTACCCGTGGATCTTATTTGCTAACATCAACTTTGAACTCTGTGGTGACCTTTGGAGAATATGCATATAATCTGGTATTTGAACTCTATGAGCTTCAAGTTTAGATAGAAATTAGGAGTGGTATTAATCAGAGTTTAGGAGTACTAATACCCGAAGAATTTCTAATTATTAGTTCTTCTTCTTCTGCTGCCATTTCACTTCTCTTTCTATCTCCCCATATCACTCTATTAACACATCTTTGAGAGCTTTCTCTCAACTTGCCTCTCTTTATTCCCTTTCTCGGCTCTTCTTATTTTTCTTTCTTTTCTCTATATTGGTGGGATTGGTTTTCCTCTTAATGGCTTCTCAGATTTACCAACTTTTTGATGATTCTCTCTAAAGGGTACTTTTGTTATTGTTATTGTTATTCCTTCTTTTTTTTTCTTTATATATTGCGAATTTGGTTCTGTTGTTTACATCAATTCGATCCACACTATGAAGTCCTCTTTTCTTGATACCTGAATTTGGCATTTATTTTCTGAAATTTTGAGGTGTATTTGATTTGTTTGTGTTTTGTTCTTCTACTCTAGATGATTAATCTAGTCTCCACAACATATTAAACTCAGATGCGCAAGTATCAATCAAATTTGAGGAACCCAACCAATCATTTTGTTGAAGAATCAAGTTGACCCAATAAATAATTTCTTCAAATCTCTAATAAATTAATTGCAGGTTCCCAATCATTAGGAACCTAGAGAGAGAAATTTCTCACCTTACTGACCTGTATATTGGGGAAAACAACGCCAAAGTATCCTGAAAATTGGTGGACGACATCAGCAACATAGTAGGGGGAAGATTTCCGACCCAGACATTGGAATCACAAGACAGGATCATGTCTGTTGTGTGTTCACCGTTGGGTGTTTATTAGTGTCTTAAATTAATGATGATGTTTCACCCAAAAAAAAGTTAAGACTTCAAATCAGCCAGAATATACGGTTAATTGGGATTAATCTCTTGTTGAACTTGCTAAACTGTGCATCAATTGAATAACTGCTGAATGAATAGAAACTTCTTGGAACACCCCCAAAAAAAAAAAAAAAAAAAGACAACTATTTACATTTATCTGAAATGCTGGTATTTTACCTCCACAATTGCATAATATGCTTCATTTTACAAAATCTAAGTTCATTTGCATTTCCACACATCGGTATTGACATAAAACATAAAGGTTCTTCCTTCAGGCTTAATATATACATGGAATTATAGCATAACGCTCTCTAGGGTAGTTGTCAAATTTTCTTAAATACCATTGTTGAGTATCTGCTGCTGCAAACACAAGATTCGCCACCTGAAATCAGAATGATTCAAGCGAAAATTAATCATTGACATTGATACAAGACCTGAAGAGAACTAACTTTCATAACCAAGAAGAAACCAGGGAAAGGAAGTCTTACAACAAAGATAAAAAGCAACCACACTGTAATGTCAGAGCATCCACTAGCAACCAGAATACCAGCATATATCACCTTCAATATCATGAAAACTCAACATATAAGAAATTTTTTATCAACTGTTACAGATATCATGTTTCTGATAAAAGAATTATCATGTTTCTGATAAAAGAATAAAAGGAAAAAACAAAGAAACAGATTTCAGAGGCAGAAGGTTTGCACAAAAATGAAAAGTAGACATACTATCTCATCTAGGTAATGAGGGCATGAAACATATCTGAACCAATCACCGTAAGGAATCACATAATCATCACTGCCTTCCGATTTCTCTCGCACTAAACCCTGTTAACGAAATGCAATTATAAGACTGCTCAGTAACTTCTTCTCAAACCATAATATTACCTTAAAAGAAGAGTCTTTGTAAACAATGTTACAAACCTTGATATTGTTCTAAAAATGGAAATGGCCACATAAAACTTCAACAAAAAGCGACCAATGTTGAGAAGCTAAGAGAAAAAGTTTGATACATGCAGTTTTGGACATAAAAATTCGAATTGCTCTATTTTGTAAGATAAATCGATGCGAGCATGTTTCACAGAATCGATGCAACGGAATTCCATATAATCCCGATTACAAAAAGTTTCTAGTTAACTTACGAGAATTGCATGGCATCGACGCTGATGAATCCATCCTAGCAGAAAAATAATTGCCCCTAACCAAGCATGCCAGTTGAGCTTTAGAAGAGGGTTCACGAACCCCCACCAATTAGTTTCAGTGACTTGCATCTGATCCTTTCCCTTAACTATGAACTCTTGAATCAAGTTCAAGGCGTAATGGAACACTTCGGCCATGTAAGTACAGCAAAGTGATAATGGAGCAGCCGCATAAAAACTGATATAACAAAAGACAATGAATGAGAAAATATCCTATAGTCAAACTTTATTAACTATGTACGATTTTTTGAGACAATCCGCATTAAGTCAAATATGTTTTTTTTACATACTGATTGGCTAAGGATTTTCTCAAACGTGCAAACAACTAAATATAACGGTATTATGAGATATTGTTTCCAAAAGAAAAAACCAATGCATTCATGAGGATATGATAGGCCGGTGATAAATTCTCTGATACCACAATATACGACAACACTAAAGCATCATGACGCGCCCAATGAAGATCGGTGCATGCAAGGAAATTACAGCCTACTCCATTAAATTTAGGGTTTTAAACAAATACACAAGATTTTTATCAGAAAACTATTAATAAGAAAAGGGACAGGCAGAACAGGAGATCTTACTATAACCCGGTGATATAGCCAAAGATGTGCATCCTCGCGGAGGGACTATACTTAAACACATATATTGTCTCATAAAGACGTCTTAATACTTGAGCTTCCATCAACAAAAGCAAAAAAACAGAAAGCCAAACCCCCCGTCTTTTTTCCAGCTTCATCGACCTGGACTCATGCAACCAAAAACTCTGCGAACCCCCAGTTAAGTGGCTGGTAATGCTAGAAAACTGCATTGGCTCAGAGACTAATGGCGTCCCGCTGTACGCGTAAACCCATGTTGCAACCAGTAAAGTTGTTGTCCAAATAACAGCCAATACATAAAAGTGGCCGAAGAATCTCTGCGGGACTGTGAATCTCTGATTTTTTGAATAAACATGATCAGTCAGAATCTTAACACTTACAGTATTGCCAAGTACAGAACACAAGAAGAATATCAAAGATGAAGTCTTCACACAATATCTTATGTAATCCATATTGAGAAGAAACAATAAAATTCAACCTGAATGGACAACTCTCCTCGTCTTAATTTTAACCCAACAGCATATAGGCAGGCTAATTTTAATCCAAGTTTTATTTTTTCTCAACATAAAACACAACTTTGAGCCAAATCGTTTAAAACAACAAGCTTATATCACGGGGTAAAGCAAACTTACACTTGATGATGATTGAAGAGTCTTGCCACGTTTTGCAAAGCCCGACAGCAAATCATGAAACCAACTGAGCTTAGACGAAGGGATTGAAGCAATCAGAATAGGCAAAGTCCCCCCAATCCAAGCCACCCTTAACAATGTCACCAGCGTGATCTCCATTGTTCAAATAACCCTACCAATTTCGTATACTCATCAATGGCTGCCTAGCAGTAATAAAAAGAAGCCCAATTCATTTATCATTCTCACGTGAAGTATATATGGATGATTTTCCTGACTTCCAAGAATTGGGATATGCTTTTTTTAAAAAAATAAAAATAAAAAAATAAATATAAAGGTTTTGCTCAAAATGAATGCTTCAGAGCTTAGCAAGAATATTGCAAAATTCGAATGGAACCGAACAATTCCCAAATCCTGGTTTCTGTAATCAGGATTTGGTGCTGGGAATTGTTGGTCGGAGGATGAAGATTAGAGAACGAAGAAGATGCTGGGAAAAAATTGGAATCGGGAGAATAGTCTCGATGGGTTCAGTAACTAATTTTATATTCATAGCTGCCACTGTGTCACCGAAGAAACCAGATAAATTATACCTAAATTTTTTGCACTTCACATGAGCAAGAAAGATAAATTTAAAATCCATAGTGAAGTGCATAGGGAGGGGTTCAGTAAAGAACCTATTCATTTTCCAAGCTAAAAAAAAAACTACAAACCTTTTAAAAGCCTAACCTTAGGGGTAAGCGTTGGCTAATGAAGGCCCGTATGAACTTCAACGAGTTGCACTTTCCAATAAGGTCAATGTAAATCTTTACTGTTCTCGCTTGGCTTTACCAATTCTGTTCTGCAATGAAATAGAAAGAGGCACTGTTAAAATTGGAATGGAGTTTGATTAGATGGTAATCCATGAATTTGGTTAAGCTACTGCTGGTTGCTTATCAGAAACAGTGCCAAAAACCCAAAGCTCATCAGCAAAATGGATGCTCAGACAAGAATAGGTGAGCAATTTATTCACAACATATAAAGAAGATCAGTTATAACTTATGGATTGGTCATCAAGTAAAATATCCAGATCCAAATTAAACAAACAAATCAAAACAATTTCCTTTGGTAACTACACCAAAAAAAAAAAAAGAGAAATGCCCCTGTAAATAAAAACTAATCAGGGCTATCAAAGTAAGAGTAAACAATTATCAGCAAAAGTTAGTCAAGGCACAATCAGTATTTTGTTGGCCGTGAATTTCAAACACAATATCTTGAGCAGACTCTAGACCATGTTTACACACCGAAAAAACCACAAAAACGATGGGGAACATATAAGAGTAATTTTAGCAGCTTTCAAGTCAGTAACTTTAGCAACTTCTTATGAACGGAGTAAGAAAAAACTACCAAAAAGAGCAGCAATTACCCTTCAGCTATCAAAGCCAATTAAGCCTTAAAAAAGGTAGAGAGCATCCAGTACTAAAAGAAGAACCCATGCAACAAACAAATCAAATACACCTCAAAATTTCAGAAAATAAATGCCAAATTCAGGTAGTAAGAAACAAGGACTTCACAGTTTGGATCGAATTGATGTAAAGAACAGAACCAAATTCGCAATATATAAAGAAAAAAAGAAGGAATAACAATAACAATAACAAAAGTACCCTTTAGAGAGAATCATCAAAAAGTTGGTAAATCTGAGAGGCCATTGAGAGGAAAACCAATCCCACCAATCCAGAGAGAAGAAAGAAAAATAAGAAGAGCGGAGAAAGGGAATAAAGAGAGGCAAGTTGAGAGAAAGCTCTCAAAGATGTGTTAATAGAGTGATATGGAGAGATAGAAAGAGAAGTGAAATGGCAGCAGAAGAAGAAGAACTAATAATTAAAATTTCTGCGGGTATTAGTACTCCTAAACTCTGACTAATACCACTCCTAATTTCTATCAAAACTTGAAGCTCATAGAGTTCAAATACCAGATTATATGCATATTCTCAAATACCAGATTATATGCATATTCTCCAAAGGTCACCACAGAGTTCAAAGTTGATGTTAGCAAATAAGATCCACGGGCAGGTCAAATCATAAACTTGAATACTGAGTATTACACTAAGACGGTTAATTGAGCCAACACAGATTCAGGGGAAGTTTAATTCTCTAAAACAACTCCAAATTTAGGTCAGCCTCTAACATATTCTACTTCGTATATGGAAGCAAAAACAATATAAATTTAACAACAAACATGGTCCTCAGGCTAAACGCTTCCTTATATATAAACACAATTTCAGCAAGAATATAGAAACTTCAACTAAATAAGACATACCGGAGCTTGAAATCAAAATCTGAGTAAATCTAACCTTTCCGAATTCTTATATTACATAATCTGTAACCATCAAAATTAAATGGTTGAAGTTTACAATTCTAAAGTAACAAGCCCTTTTCACCATTTTGTAATCAAAACCAAAATGAAACTGTGTTAGAATTAAGAATTGTATTAGGGAGTGTAATCTATCGAAAAAGAACATGAGCATTTCATTTGTAGTGAAATAATCGCACCTTGCTAATTAATAAAGTATTTAGCTATATAAGTAGAATAATTTCTATTAGATTGAAACTTAAGAAGAGGAAAAAATCTTAATAAATTCAGAATCGGGGGCATCATTTCATGTATAGGGGTTCTGATGTGGTGCATGTCTTAAAGTGAAGTGCAGAATCGATGAAGTCATGTGAGTTAAACACATGTGAGTTAAACACATCTATACAGATCATACATGCATGTAATCCAACGGAAGAAGCACCAGATTTTAATCAAAAATTTGGGTTGCAACTGAGCCTAGCATTTCAAAGAAATCATAGTACGTCTCTTATACATTGGTACAAATCATACATGCATACAATCCAACCTAACAAACACCAGATTTCAACCAAAGATTTGGCTTTACAAATTAATTACGTAGACTCACTTTTAAAAAAAGCTCATTTAGACCAAAATTCAAACACCTTTCATGCAATTAGAGGACAGAAGTTTTAAATAGGAAACATATATTTTTCAGATTCTTCGAATTAAATCCGATAAGCCTATCAATAAGGAAGTGCTTCTACCTCATTCTGATGTCCATTTATAATCCTAACGCATCTCGATTTCTGTTGCTTTAGCAGCCAAACAAGTTAATCAATGGATTGGATTTCCTTCCCCTTATCGTTCTTCTCCTCACTCGGCCCTTTTCCCTTCTCTCTTTCTTTTAGCTTTTCTTCCTTGTCCCTCTCTTTTGGTTTCTATAATTAATCTCTATAGAGGAAGGTACAGAAAGAGGATGATTGTGAGTGATGGAAATGATGGTCGGTGAATCGGGATTTTGGAATTGTTAGTCGGAGAATGAAGATTGGAGAACGAAGAAGATGCTGGGAAGAAATTGGAATCGAGAGAATAGTCTCGATGGTTTCAGCAACTAATTTTATATTCATTGCTCCCACCGGAGACCGATTACATGAAAGAAAGAACTGGAGACACGAAAATTATTTTAAAAACAGAAGGAGGGGTCCAATCACCTGTCGCCACATCACCAATTTTGGAGGGAACTGGCAACAAATCTTGCTTAAGAAACTAAATTGATTGAAGCATTATTAGCGTATGTCTTTAGGATCCTTGGTGAGATTTTTCAGCAGGAGATTTGAGGAAAGTGGAGAACTTAGCAAGATGCCTTCATTGATGAGGAAAACAATGAACCAAATCATATATTTCTGCCAACACTTGCTTGGCTAAAGTAGTAAGGTGCTTTGGTTCTCTTAAACGAGGTCTTGGGTTCGAGTCTCGTGAATGAAAAAAGCAATGTTGGGAGAGCTTTTCCTCCGAAAGGACACCAACCCGGCTCGGTGCGAATTAGTATGAGTGCAATGCACTTAGGACATCGTGCGCAATATGAAAAAAAAAATAAAAATTACATTTCTGAAAAACGTACACAAACTGATACTGAACTAGTTTGTACCAGTATTTACCCATAACTGGCTGCGTAGTTTCCAAAAAGCCTAGTTTTATTGGGTCTCTTAATTACCCATAACCGCATAATCGCATAAAAAGCCCAGTCCTCATGGGCTTGGTATTGAGAGGCCGAAAATAAACGGACCGTATCAAACGACATCGTTAACTCAAACCCTAGTAACATTTCACTATATATAATCAAAACCCTACAAAATTGCATTCTCAACCAGCCACACCAAAAGGAGAGAGCACATACCGGAAACTGCAAAGGTGAGATTTCAAATCGGCGGCAATGAAGTACAATCCAAGGGTTTCCTCCTCTCGCCACAAGAGCCGAAAGGCTCACTTCACCGCTCCTTCCAGCGTTCGCCACGTGTTGATGAGCGCTCCATTGTCGACCGATCTTAGGCAGAAGTACAACGTCCGCTCGATGCCGGTGCGCAAGGACGACAAGGTTTAGGTTGTTCGTGGGACCTACAAGGGCCGTGAGGGAAAGGTCGTCCAAGTCTACCGTAAGAAATGGGTGATCCACATCGAACGCATCACTCGAGAGAAGGTTAATGGCTCCACTGTGAACGTTGGCATCCACCCTTCCAACGTGGTCATCACAAAGCTCCACCTCGACAAGGACTGTATGTCACTTCTCGATCGCAAGGCCAAGGGATGCGCCGCTGCTGATAAGGATAAGGGAACCAAGTTTACCGCTGAGGATATCATGCAAAATGTCGATTGAGCATATTAAGATCCATCTTGTTGTCTTTTATTTTCGTATTACTCTTTAGGGTTGAGAAAGATTTTGCTATAAACTTCAAGCTTTTGGTTATTATTAGTCCCTAAATATGGAATTTTTCTTCTCGGATTCTATTGTGGGTATTTTGGCAATCGCTGGTAGCCTGGATCTTTTAAGTTATATTGTCTATTTTATCTTAATGTTTGTTCTTCTTAGTTGTCATACATTCGTTTAATTATTCTCATGGTTATGTGTGGAAGCTTTGAATTGAGAGACTTTGGACTTCCAGTGCGGTTGTTTTTGCTCAATCAGCAGTAATATGTGTGTCATTTCAATTCTATCACTCAATTTAGTGCGGCATAATGGTCCATATTGTTGGGTTAGTCTTTACAATGCTTTTGTGGCTGAATTTTTGCTGTTTTACAATGATTTTGGTTTTGGGTTATTAGTTTGTGTGTTCATTGTGTGTTGGATATCAACTATCAAGTGTGATGATACAGGTTAGAGCTCATTAATGTGAATCAAGTTGAATGGTTTTGACTCAATTAGGATGCTTAGTTTGTGTTTACAAGGTAATCATTTTTGGTTTAGGGTTTAGGGAGAAGAACGATTTCTGTTGCTTTAGCAGCCAAACGTAGCTCATGTAGCCTTAAGTGACTACATTACAATGCCAATCAAGAGCATAAATAATATTAAAGTTCATTTCCTGATGTGGCTGTATAGTATTTTTGTTTTCAAGAAACATCAAAAAAGAAATGCAGCCATCATTCTTAAAGATCAGAAGTTATATATTTTCAAGAAAGGGTGGAATAGCTGCATGACGAAGTTGTCTAGACAATTATACTCACTCTCTCATTCCCAAAATGATAGTCCACTTTTAATTTTCATTCTTAGCAACATTTGTACTAAAAGTGAAAATCCAAACCGGACAATCATTTGGGGACGGAGAGAGTACCCTTTGGAGTAACTCAGAAGTTGAACTGTTCTGCAACTATGGATTAGCTTTCTCATGTGCCCTCTCACGGAAAAAAAGCCAAAAAGGGCAGAGATGTACATCATTACATTGTTAAGTGCAGGCTATACTCATTTCTTTCTATCCTTTCGATAAATTAAATTTTTAGCCATTACCGAGCAACTTAGATGATAGCACAAGACAAAACCAAGCAAACGGTGGAGTTATATGCCTACGAATTCTTACAGAATCGAGCAGATAACCACAAATTTTTACGCCAAAGGATTTCTTACAACCATTGATATAGTATAATGCACTATAAACAAGGTCGAGATTTCCATCACCCAAAAAAGGTTAAATCCTAGTTGCAGGACACAATCAAGGAAAAAGAAATGAAATCAAGAATTCCTAGGACTCCATTCCAGAACGAATCATTACAAAGAAAAATCAGAGAAGCTTTGGCGCCGTACATATTCTTTCGTACATGAATTGATAACAAGTTCTAAGACGGAAAAAATTACAAAATAAGAAAGTGAACTTACGAGGGAATCAATAGCGGCACTTGCTCGCCGACTCTGCATCTGGCGGCGCCGGTTCGTACCTCTGCTTCGAAGGGAATGATTTGGTTCTCAGGTTGAGAATCCAGATTCTCAGACGGGGGGGAATGGCAAGTGTGGAAGCAAAAATGATGAACGAGGAATTGGGAATTTAGGGTACAATACCCGATTTTGGGAAAAATTGGCCGATTTATCTTAAACTTTACCTCTTTTTCGATTAGCTTATTTTACCTTTAGTTATCACAACTTTCGTCAATTGGTCTTTTTTGTCAATTTCCGTCCAAATTAACGGTTTTTACATCTTTCCGTCAATTGAGCCATTATTTTATTATAATAAACAAGGTCCTTTCAATCAGATTTACTCTTAAATTACTTTTGGACTTAATCCTAATTATGTTGGGTCAAAATATAGAGAAATTTCCACCAAAAAAATTGTGGGCTCCACATGGCCCAAAAAAAATCTCCATCATTTGGCCAAAAAAATAGAGTGCCATCCAATCCAGATTTTGAGATTTCACCGGAATTTCGCTAAGAAAAGTATATTCCCGGTCTTCTTCCGCCGCGCTTGGACTCAATTACATCATGGGGGGCCCACAATATCGTTCTCTTCCTCACTCGGCCCCCGCTCGGACCAAAACCAATCACCTGAAACCATCGAGACTATTCTCCCGATTCCAATTTCTTCCCAGCATCTTCTTCGTTCTCCAATCTTCATCCTCCGACCAAAAATTCCCAAATCCTGATTCACCGACCTTCATTTCCATCACTCACCATCATCCTCTTTCTGTACGTTCCTCTATAGAGATTAATTACAGAAACCAAAAGAGAGGGACGAGGAAGAAAAGCTAAAAGAAAGAGAGAAGGGAAAAGGGCCGAGTGAGGAGAAGAATGATAAGGGGAAAGAAATCCAATCCATTGATTAACTTGTTTGGCTGCTAAAGTAACAGAAATCGAGATGCGTTAGGATTATAAATGAACATCAGAATGAGGTAAAAGCACTTCCTTATTGATAGGCTTATCGGATTTAGTTCGAAGAATCTGAAAAATATATGTTTCCTATTTAAAGTTTTTGCCCTCTAATTGCATGAAAGGTGTTTGAATTTTGGTCTAAATGAACTTTTTTTTAAAATTGAGTCTACGTAATTAATTTGTGAAGCCAAATCATTGGTTGAAATCTGGTGTTTGTTAGGCTAGATTGTATGCATGTATGATTTGTACCAATATATAAGAGACGTACTATGATTTCTTTGAAATGCTAGGCTCAGTTGTCAACCCAAATTTTTGATTAAAATCTGGTGCTTCTTCCGTTGGATTACATGCATGTATGATCTGTATAGATGTGTTTAACTCACAAGTGTTTAACTCACATGACTTTATCGATTCTGCACTTCACTTCAAGACATGCACCACATCAGAACCCCTATACATGAAATGATGCCCCTGATTCTGAATTTATTAAGATTTTTTCCTCTTCTTAAGTTTCAATCTAATAGAAATTAGTCTACTTATATAGCTAAATACTTTATTAATTAGCAAGGTGCGATTATTTCACTACAAATGAAATACTCATGTTCTTTTTCGATAGATTAACACTCCCTAATACAATTCTTAATTCTAAAATAGTTTCGTTTTGGTTTGATTACAAAATGGTGAAAAGGGCTTGTTACTTTAAAATTGTAAACTTCAACCTTTTAATTTTGATGGTTACAGATTATGTAATATAAGAATTCGGAAAGGTTAGATTTACTCAAATTTTGATTTCAAGCTCCTATTTAGTTGAAGTTTCTGTATTCTTGCTGAAATTGTGCTTATATATAGGAAGCGTTCAGCCTGAGGACCATGTTTGTTGTTAAATTTATGTTGTTTTTGCTTCTATATACGAAGAAGAAATTTAGGTGAGCCTCTAACATATTCTTCTTCGTATATGGAAGCAAAAACAACATAAATTTGACAACAAACATGGTCCTCAGGCTAAACGCTTCCTATATATAAGCACAATTTCAGCAAGAATACATAAACTTCAACTAAATAGGAGCTTGAAATCAAAATTTGAGTAAATCTAACCTTTCCGAATTCTTATATTACATAATCTGTAACCATCAAAATTAAAAGGTTGAAGTTTACAATTTTAAAGTAACAAGCCCTTTTCACCATTTTGTAATCAAACCAAAATGAAACTGTTTTAGAATTAAGAATTGTATTAGGGAGTGTTAATCTATCGAAAAAAAACATGAGCATTTCATTTGTAGTGAAATAATCGCACCTTGCTAATTAATAAAGTATTTAGCTATATAAGTAGAATAATTTCTATTAGCTTGAACTTAAGAAGAGCAAAAAATCTTAATAAATTCAGAATTAGGGGCATCATTTCATGTATAGGGGTTCTGATGTGGTGCATGTCTTAAAGTGAAGTGCAGAATCGATGAAGTCATGTGAGTTAAACACATGTGACTTAAACACATCTATACAGATCATACATGCATGTAATCCAACGGAAGAAGCACTAGATTTTAATAAAAAAATTTGGGTTGACAACTGAGCCTAACATTTCAAAGAAATCATAGTACGTCTCTTATATATTGGTACAAAGCATACATGCATACAATCCAGCCTAACAAACACCAGATTTCAACCAAAGATTTGGCTTTACAAATTAATTACGTAGACTCACTTTTAAAAAAAGCTTATTTAGACAAAAATTCAAACACCTTTCATGCAATTAGAGGACCGAAGCTTTAAATAGGAAACATATATTTTTCAGATTCTTCGAACTAAATCCGATAAGCCTATCAATAAGGAAGTGCTTTTACCTCATTCTGATGTCCATTTATAATCCTAACGCATCTCGATTTTTGTTGCTTTAGCAGCCAAACAAGTTAATCAATGGATTGGATTTCTTTCCCCTTATTGTTCTTCTCCTCACTCGGCCCTTTTCCCTTCTCTCTTTCTTTTAGCTTTTCTTCCTCGTCCCTGTCTTTTGGTTTCTGTAATTTATCTCTATAGAGGAAGGTACAGAAACAGGATGATGGTGAGTGATGGAAATGAAGGTCGGTGAATCAGGATTTGGGAATTGTTGGTCGGAGGATGAAGATTGGAGAACGAAGAAGATGCTGGGAAGAAATTGGAATCGGGAGAATAGTCTCGATGATTTCAGAGGAGTGACACTATGAAGTAATTGACTTTCTTTGGAAATATTATCTTTGAGGAGACTCAAGTCGAATATAAAAACTCTTTTGTTTTTATCTTATGAAACTATACTTCCAACTTCACCCTTGCCACTATTTGGCTTTCCACATCTATGATCAAATTGAATCAAATATACCGTTCGGTCTTTACTTCTATGAATACAACATCAAGGACAATACATAGCATAACAATTTCACAAAACCAAACTGCACTTTCTTCCTTGTCTCTGCTCCATTCAACAATTTTCAAGCAAGTCCACCCAAAATCATGGCAAGAGATCATGTCTGGGAATTTTTGGCTACCTAAAGCACAAATTATATTTGGAAGCACATTTAGAAACTTCGAAACCCTCCTCGCATTAAACATTTCATATGGAGGTATTGTTGTACAAGCTCCCTGCCAGGTCTAGAGAACCTAATTAAGCATTGGCTTGATGCAATAATGGTCCTTCACCTTCTAGAATTCAGCTAACGTCTCTACTGCTCGCCTTTTTTGGACACGTTCATTCTCGTCTTAAGTTTGGAGGCTGGCAGGAATCCGAGACATCAATCAACTACAGAAGCCTTTGAAATTGGAAGCTCTGACTGGTTAGATATCATTGTCCATTGAGCAACTCCTGGGGGATGTGGTTGAATCGGAAGCTCAGTGCATCAGGCATCCAATAAGCACAAGGGAAGTCCATTATACCAGCACAAATGATTCCAAAGGTACAGGATACTGGAACAAAGAATGTTTCAATCACATAAATTAGCACAATCAAAATTCTATAACGATACCTTTGTTCAGGTGTATAATCTAACATCTAGCACACAAATAATCAAACTCACGTTGCAACACGGTTAGCTCTAATGGAAGGTTGCCCCACAACAACAAAAAAAAAAAAACCCAGTTAAAAACTCTATGCCAGTTTAGGACAAAAGCTAATAACAAAAGAATTTCTCTGATTACAATACCATGTCCTAACCCCAAACTTATAAATAACCAGATTGTTACATGAAATGAAAAGAGGAGCTCTTGGTGTTTACAAATAAAATGGATTCACTGATATTGGTTTTGGTCATCTATAAAATGCATATAATGAAACATCTCACACGCAATCAAATGGACTCCCATTTCTAACACAATTGAGTGACACCACTACAACTCAAATTAAATTCAACGCCAAGACATGTTCCTCTGATTCCAAATATTGATTTGAAGTTCTTCTAAACTATAACTTAAGGAAAATTCCATGCGAATCCCATATCATACAACCACATGAAAATATTTAAAGAATCAAGGTGTATCCAGTCCTTACTGCAAATTAGACTTTCCAAAATTTCATTCAACTAAAACTTGCAATAATTTACTATTTAAATAGTTGAAGCACTGTGATTCAATGTCAAAATCCATAATTATAGACAATAACTTTAGATTACTCGGATCAAACACATCATGGTACAGAAAAGCTTCATCAAGAAATAAAAAGCCCAATTAAGACCCTGAATGAACTTCTTACTAAGTTCATCATTGAATTACTAAAATTATCAATAAAATAACATACTGGTTGAGCTCCAATTTCCAAAACCAAATTAAATAAAGTCTGGACAATAATCAAAGAAAACCAAATGAAAACTTGGAGAGAATAAGATTCTCTTTTGAACAACAAATCAAAAGTAACTTGATACACTCATTTGAACCATGAAATTGGCTGCTTTATGGAGAAAAAAGACTGCAGTAATCCATTAACTCTACATCCTCTTACATTTTCAGTCAAACTAAATTGAGTATGTCAAATTCTTATTTTAGCAGTCCCTTAATCATTTTCAAACTGGCTAATTTTTGTAACAGAGGAAGAGTGCACACCCGTATTGCTTCGCATGCACCAAAAAGCAAACACTTTTCGAAAAAAATAATGACAAGCAACAGGATATTTTTTCCGCCAAATATAGGCCAAAACCAATGCAAAAAATTTCTCTAATACCAATAATCAAACAATCACTAAATTGCTGCCATTTGGCTAATTT